AATATTGCAAAAATACCCTTACTCCTTTAATGTTATGAAATGAATATAATTATAATTTCATTTCCCCCAAACAATTATATTGCTTTTATTTAATTTTCTTAATATTATAAACTCAGTTATGTTTTGAAGTTTATTTACACTAATATGTTTATCTTTACGGTTTTTTTGGATTTTATTTTCTCTAAATAATCAAAATACCACATTCGAAATGTTGAATAAAACCAACTATAAAAAAATGAAAAGAGGAAATGGTGGTAATCTCTTTGCTCTCGTTTGTTCTGATTCTAATTTTGTTAATGTTCACCTAATAGTGGTTCAAGTGTTCGTATTGTTATTTATTTGGCAAATGACTTTGAATGCAAGCTTAATGTGAGAAATGATCTTGAAGTAGATGTTGTTAAAGTTATGAGAGGTAGTACACTCAAATTAGAAAACTAATGCCGTATGGAATATAATTTATTATTATTATCATCATTATAGGACACTTGTTGCACTTTATTTGAGTTCATTGTGATATATATTTTATATTAGTACATTATATTTAAAAATTCTTAAATAATTGATATACAATATTTGGTGATTTTTCGACGGCAAATTAATAACATTTTTATAATGAGAAATCATATTATAACTTGAGAAAATAACTTGTTAAGATCAAATATGAGTTATTTCTAACTATTTTTATAATTCATATCAATATTGTTGTTAATAATCAAAACTATGATTGGTTTTATATTCTTAGAGTGTACATCGACTGTTATGATTATTATTGATTATTTTTATTGGACCGACTTGATTTCTATGTTTTATATTCAAAAGTGTTATTCTCTCACAGTTGCCACATGGTAATTATAATTATTTAGCATCTTAAATAACTTTTATTGATATATTTATGTATATATTTTATTATAAAAAACTTTAATAAATATTATCCAAGTGGGAGATTGTAAAAATTTATAAGCTATTATTTTATTGAGAATTTGTGATAATTTATTAAGATTAGTTTTTGATATAAATAAATTGATTAATTATGTGATATACATTTATTAAAACTCATACAAACACCTCGTAGCATTATAATATAGTTTGACGATCTAAATGTAGATTCATAAATATCTCAATAAGAAGTCTGTAATTGGAGTATATAACCTAAGAGTTTTATTCTTCCATTGACTTCTTATATATATAATTTATTTATTAGATAATCGCGATTAAGTTTTTTTCTCGCAGACTGCAAACTCTGACATATATTCATTGAATATATTATAATGTCTCAATTAAAAATACATGTTCTATACATATTTACTAGGTATTTTTTTTTTTTTGCATTCTATATTTAAAGATCCAATGTTAATCATCAGATCTTGCTGCAGACTTTCATTCATATTGTATACACAAGTAACGCATATTATATATATATATATATATTCGAGAGAGAAGAATTTAAAAATATATTTGGTCTAGGATGTAATATTTGAAGATCCTTTTTTGATGGCTCCTAAAAATATACCTTAAAAAAAATCAGAAAAAAGAAAAATAAAAAACAGAGAGAAGCAAGAAGGCTCTCACCACAATCCAATCGATCTAAAAAAAAAGACGTTATCGGTGCATGTGCCATCTCATGCATGTCTTCTATCTCCCCTTACCTATCTGTCCATCTCGTTCAGTACTGTCCATGCGTGCCTGCACCAAAATTTCCCGGCCATTTTCTCTCAAACAAAAAAGCTGATAACACGCAGCCAAAAAGTTATATATGATTTTAGTGATTAATTTATTTCAGCTTATTGTTATTAGACTTTAAGGTTGCGCTGCCGGAACACCTCTACCCATGTATAGCATTTCAACATTTTATGTATAACGTTGTTGATTAGGGTTTTGAAAGAAAACAAAAAAGAGTACTGAGGCCGACAAGGAATGGATATTGGTCGCTTCCAAAGATACGATCCAAGAGGAAAGAGAGACAAGTTCGAGTTGGTAGGCATATAATAAAAGAGTTTTTGTATTAATATATGAAAAGAAAAGAAGTGGTATAATCAAACTGTGACTTGAGGCTGAGCATTAATTAAAGAGGTTTTTGCTTCGGGCAATGAGCGGGAGTGACTGGGCGCTATCAGTATATGCAATTGTATAAATGTCAGAATTAAAAGCCTCCAGAGTGATAACCCCACGCGTTGAACCTCATACTCAGCCGAGGGTATTTCGCGATGTTTTATGTTGGCGTAGGGAAGTAGGATTAGGTTTTCTTGCCTGTACATTTTTGGATTTTCCAAACCAAGTTCTGGCTAATCTTGTTTTCCCCAACACCACCCCTTTCTAATTTCTCCTTAACTTAGTCTTTCAGGGTTTTGCAATTGCATTGCATTGCATTGTATAAACACAGATATTGATTCTTGTATATATAGGAATTGAAGGGGAAGTGGGTTCATGAAAGGGGTGATATTTCTCTCATACACGAGGTTTCACCTTTCGATGTAATATATATATATATATATATGTTTTTCTTGAAAAGAAAAAGTAAAGGTGGTACCCTTTACTGAAAGCATTGTTTACACAGCTAATATTACACTACCCATGTAGAAACGATTACATACAGATATACATAAATCTGTTGATGAATACAGAAGTATTTCTTTTTACATCCATAGACATTTAATAGATATTACAAACCCACACGACGAACCATAACAGCTTGATCAGCCAAGACAGCAAACCGGTACGAAATGTATCATGTTGTTTTACAAAAATACAATCTTTTAGCGTGTGTACCTTCGTCCACCGACAGAAATTTTAATGACTCAGATATATTTTTGGACATGTTTAGGTATGTCGGTATTTATATAGTTTTAGTTGATAGTAACTGAGCTCTCGTATGGATGTTTTCACCTAATCATCTGTTTCCTGCGTGTAGACACACACACACACACACTTATATTAGTCCAGTTAATTTTTATTTGACCATTTTCTTCCTCCGGCAATGACAATTCTCAAACCCACAATTTAGTAAAACACTATGTATATGTATATAAATATATATTAAAAAAAAAGGCAGTCCAGATGGTTGAAACCTGAGCAGGGTATGATGGAAAGCGTGTAAAAAAGGAAGTCGTACGGTTTGAATTATGAGATAGAATTGAGATGGATAGTGTGTCATCCTCAAACATTAAAAAAAAAAAAAAAAAAAAGAAAAAAACAAATCAAAGAGATAGAATAAATAAATGAGGGGAAAAAGCTAAGAGGATCTTGAGGTGCTGCAAAAAGAGAATTGAATCGGGATATGCTAATGTACGGTCGGTTTTAATTTAATTGGATGGGAACTTAATGCCCACCCCCTGGTTCCTTGTCAAAAAAGGAGTTGCCATTACTTACGCATGTCTCTATCACCTTCTATATATTACTATACGCCAAAAAAAAAAATATATATATATATATCATAAACATAATTAAGTTTTTAATAAGAGGAGAAAATCACAATTACCTCATGGTAATTTAAATTATTTGATGGATTAAAGAATAGTGGGAAGGGGGGGAATGTGGAAAAAGTTTGGGAGGAGGGGGTAGTGATAATTGCATATACTCTGACAGAATCTCTTCTTTGTCGTTAGAAATCTCTTGTTGTTGTTGTTTGTTCATCTTTTTCCGGTTTGGCGTCTCTTTGGCCTTTTCCCAAAACCCCCTCCACCGCCATTTATTTACACCAACTACTACTTTCATCGCTTCCATCAAATCACTCATCTCAATCCATATACAATGCTCCCCAACTAAACTTAATTACTCAATATATATTTAATTTTATATATCTATTTCTTTCCAACCCCATTCCAAGATGAGGCTTCTCGTGTTACTCTCTAAAGTGTGAGCGTATATATATATCTAGTTTTTGATTATATATACTCATTTCTTAAGTTTAACAACCATAAAATTTAATGACATTTTAATTAACGATTTCGGTACGGTTATTATTATTTATCTTTTCTATAAAATATTATTAAAACTATTATTTTGATTAATATATCTCAATAATCACTATTTTTTGAAAAATCATACATCTAATTGATAATTATTTTTAATAATAATATATAAATTTATTCCAAATAAGATTTGAAACTAAAATCTCTATTTTAAAATATAATTAAGATAATTATAAAATCAAAGTCAATTGATATATATATATATATATAAATAGTCTTTAATTCTATTTCATGGAATTTTAAAAGATTTTAAAAATTACAAAACAAATAATTTGAAAATTTAACAATTTTTTTAAATAATATATTTTGAGATTAAGATAATACTATATAGAAAATATGCTTAGCATTGAGTACATTATAAGTATAATTTAGAAGAAAACGCACAGAGATACACACGTGTGTGTGTGTATCATCCATATGTTTAAACTTCACTAGTTTTTTTTTTTTTTGGGCTAAATTACATTTTTTTTCTCTTAAATTTATTATATTATACAGAACTCACATTTAAAAAAAAAAAAAATTGGTTCAAAAATATAAAAATTTTAAACTAGCTAAATATACATATTGTTTTAATTCGTTATCTATTATATTAAAAAAAAAATCCGTTCAATTTTCTTTATAATTTTATAATATATATTTTTACTAAAATATATACAATATGCAGATAAGACACTTAAAACGTTAAAAAAAAAAAAACTAAAAATTTATTTTTTTACTTTTTACTGATTGATTGTATTAATTTTTTATACCATTAATTATTATATAATTTATATATTTGATAAAACTTATTTTGTTGATGTTAGATAAAAAAATACAAAAATTTATAAAATTTTATTACATTTAAAAAATAAAAATTTTGTTATATATGCTGCTGTAAATTAATCAAATGGAGCAAAATCCAATTTGCTCTCTTTTGTCTTTGTTTTTTGTTTTCTTGCTTTAAGACGCACGCCTTTAAGCCTCCGTCCCCAGTTTCCAATTATAAATACACACGCAGAGCCCTCAGTCCAGGTGCCAACCCCTGAGCCCTAACCCATCTTTATTCTCTTCTTCATTTCCCCCTCCATTTAAACCAACCCTCTTCTTCTTCTTCCTCTTAAACTTCCAGTCACTAACACCCACAAAAATGGAAGAAGCACTAAGAAGGCTAAACGGGATGAACCACGTCCTCGAATCCGACCCCTCTGACTCCCTCCCCGACCATCAGAGAAAGTGCACCATCACCGCAGCCACCGCCACACCGGCCGTCAACGCCACCGCCTCAAACAAGAGGTCGCTGAAAGAGAACGGTGGCAACGGTGGAACCATGCGGTACCGTGGGGTTCGCCGCAGACCTTGGGGCCGTTACGCCGCCGAGATAAGAGATCCACAGTCGAAGGAGAGGCGGTGGCTCGGAACTTTCGACACCGCCGAGGAAGCTGCCTGTGCTTATGACTGCGCGGCTCGAGCCATGCGTGGTCTCAAGGCTCGAACCAACTTCGTGTATCCTACTGCGCCTGAGCCTCACCCCTCGGCTGACCATCTTCTCCCCGCTTCTTTTAACTTTTCCAAGCAATCTCAGCCTTCCAGTCGTCACTTTCCTCCATCTTCTCACTGGCCATCTGCTGCAAATTACCCTTTGGGTGATATCTCCTGTGGCTCTCCCTCTCGCAGGAATCCTTCACTGAACGTTCTCGTCCTACGTGACTTCTTGAATTCCTCTTCCTCGTCTTCTTCCTGCAGTCAACTTTCGTATGATCAGTTTCCATGCACTTTGCCCCTTGGTTTCTCAGCGAATCCTTTTGATAGTTTTACGACCTCTGTTCCACCGGCTGATGATCATTGTCAAGGCCAGAACTCGGGGGAACAGGTAATTAACGGATGCACTCAGGCTGATGGTGAGATTAATTTCCTCCCTCAAGAATCTCCAGATTCCGGGCTGTTACAAGAGATCATTCAAGGATTCTTTCCAAAACCCTTGGCCAAGATACACAACGACGACTGTTTAAAAGGTTCATGTTACACCCAACAACACCCAGTAACTGAGATTCAAGAAGGTATGAAGAGTGAGATAAAGACTGAGCCTTGTGATGCGTACTTCCGAGGGGGGCCGCAGCAACTCCAGAGTTTGAACGGGTTGGTGGGTAATGGAGAGGAAATGGCAGGAAGCTTTCAGGTGGGTGAAGTCTCTATTTTGGATGATATTTTCCAATACCCGGAGCTCCTGAGTTCGATTGCAGCAAGGGTCCAGAATACTTGATCTGTTTATGTGCAAATAGGGTTTTGTGGTAGAAAATCTAGGTATGCAAGTCACGGCTTGGAGAACTAAATGTTTATTTTTTAGGGTTTTGCAGTATCTCATGGTTTCCTTCCGTTATCTATATTATGTATTTGTGTGCTTCTAGCTTCTAGAAATTTTATCTTCGTGTTATATCACTAGCTGAAGAATATGTACCCAGTTGACAAATAATTATGTTTTACTTATTTATCGATCTCTACGTCCAAAATTGTTCTTCTACTCGTTTTTTCTTTTCCTTTTAAGTTGCATGTGTTTTGTTCATGAGCACCAGAAGTATGTTTAAACCTAAAAAGAGAAGATGTGAAAGAAGATGAGAGAGAGAGAGGGAGAGAGAGAGAGAGGAAAGTGCCGGATCCTTCCAGTGTGTAATGATCACACAGCTTTACATTTGGGTTGACCTTGGAACTGAATAGACTGAGTATTTGGTTCCATCTTCTTTACCAAACAAAAGGCAGTGAGAAAAGAAGGGATCTAGAGAGTACGTGTTGTAGGATATTGTAAACCCTAAAAGAAAATCTATTCTTCGTAAAAAGTTTATAGAAAGTGGTGATAAGATCGGAAAGGAAGGACACCAAGTAAGAAAGCCCAGAACTGTCTTATTTGCTTCCATTACTGGATCTGCATGCACTTCATCTTCCAAAAGTCAGATCGGGTTGAGACGTACATGTACATTCCAATAAGACACTCCTTGGATCTTCATTTAATTGTAGAATTTCAAAACTTAACAATATTTATTCTTTTAAGTAAGCAGAAGCAGCAGCATATATACATATATGTATATGTCTTTTTTAACTTGAACGAAATAAATTTCTCACAAAAACTGTATAAATTAAATCTCCTAATTGGTAAAAAAAAAAATAACTCATACCAAATTATTAGAAATTATTTAATAGATAGTTATAATTTATACTGTAGATCTTAAAAAGTGTTAAATAAAAATAAATAAATATAATAAAATATTTTTTAATTCAAAATATATTTATTTAAAAATTAATTAGAATTTAATAGTCAATTCATTATAATTATTATAATACATATTTATGTATATATAATAGATCTACATATATATAATTTTCTATACATAAATATAAATTATATATTATATTCATGTCAGATATTATATGTATAAAAATAAATTTTATCTATGATAAAAACTATATACTAATATGTTATAATTATATTATATGCAGATACAAATATATAAATATAATATAAAATATTCTTTATATTACACACACACACACACACACAATATATATATATATATAAACGAGAACAAGAATATTATAGGAGGACTATACATATATATATATTTATCCGACAAACCTTTGATCCTTTGACCATTATATACACCAAAAACACATCAAATCTTTTTCCATCTCCTCTGCAACAGATAAAAAAGGGAGGGAAACATAACATTATATATATATATATATATACACACACATACACACACACCACAGATACTCGTAAGAGAGAAAGAGGAAGACACCGTTCGGCTTACCATGAGGAGACTAAAGAAGCAGATCTACACGGTTTTGAATATTTATTAAAAACTTGTACGAATTGATTGTTAAATTTCCCATCTCTTAAACTCCAATTTAATTATTATTAGCAAAAATTTAATTATTTTTTTTAAAAAGTTGTCTTTATTTATTACTGCATATGAAATAGTAATAATGATTGTGTTTCTTATAACTCCGGTGGACAGCTAAATTATTTATATTGGGATCAATAAATGCATGAAATAATAATTTTAATTCTATAATTTCTAATTAATCCATCATTTTTCTATTGGAGCCGCGACCGAGCATTTAACAGAATAATAATTTATTATAACTTGCCCCCCCCCCCCCCCCCTCATTTACTGCGTCCCAGTCTGTAATTACAAGAAATTTTTACCGGTCAAAAATAAATAATTTATTTTCTTTAATTAACCCGTAAAACACGAGAGTTGTGGTAGGGGCCTAATACAAATTATTTTTCTCACTACTTTAAATACATATATATATATTTAATAATGTTATAATTATAGTTTTCTGTCAGATACATGAATTTAATAAAAAATATAACTAAAAATAAGTGAGGAAGTAGAATTTCAAACTTCTAGTGTAATTTTTAGTTATTTTCTTCTTGGAAATTCTGTTTTTGCATGTTATTCTGAAATCAAATTTTCATTTGTGTTATTTTGGTCATTTGCTGTTATAAAAATTGTGATGGGTTTTCAACCCAAAGTTTTAAATGAACAAAATATTAGAACTTAGGCCCAGCCCAAATTTAAGATGGGTCAGGCCTTAAATATTTCTTCCCGTACACTAGTAAGGGCCCGATCCCCATGAAAAGTTTCTTTTTGTTTTTGGGGATGAATCGTCTGTGTACATTCAAGTTCATGCACAAATTCCACAGACGGAAAAGGTGCGTCTGCGTATTAATTCACGAGATGAGAAATGAAGGGATAAAGATTTGGTTTCAAAGATATGAAAAAGGGTTTTTTTTTTTTTCCTTTTCCCACAAGAAAAAAATAAAATGGAAAAAGATAAAACTGATGATGATGAGTTTGTGAGAGTGGTTGGAGCATTAAGAAAAGTGAAAGGTGTAGGTGGGATGTTAATGGACATGATTATCACTCCCGTGATATACCCAAAAGAAAGAAGGATTTTCTGATCTGTTTTATTTTCATCACCTTTTCCCCTTCTATTTTTAGCTCTATCAATTTCCCACTCTCCCATCTCCATCTTCTTTATAAAACAAAAGTGTTTAGCTCTCTGGTCAAGTAGTTTCTGCAGTTACTGGAGGCCTATCTTCATCAACAGCAGGTAACATGCATGTTAATTACTCAATCTATGAATTCATTTTACTCTGACACTGAGCTAGTTTCATTTGATTTGGTTGAGTAAATTTCTAATATATTATATTAACTGGTTTGATGATAAGTGATCAAAATGGAGAATGATCAAATAAGATGCAAGAAGGATCTCAAGGTTGAAATTCCAACAGGGAGTGAAACCATGATTCAACAAGCACCTACATCATGTACTTTGACAAGGCAACCCAGTGTTTCAAAGACCAACTGCCTTTGCTCTCCCACCACTCATGCTGGTTCCTTCAGGTGCAGACTTCATCGTACTCCGACCCTCCACAGAACCAAAAGCATTGACGATTCTTCTGCTCTTCACGACTCTCCACCTGCATCCAACCCTAATTCTACTCATAAGTAATTACATATATGTCAATATCATCTCCTCTTTGTTAGTTGTTACTGAATGGTTCAACAAAATATGCACACACACACACACACATATATATATAAACCATCTTAATTCCTGCACTGTTAATCATCCGTTGATTGATGTTATCACATGGTTCGTAGGAAAACTTCTAAAACTGCTTCTTTTGGAGTTTGAATTGTTACCCATAAATGGCAGATGGCTAGGTTCATGCAGCTTTTATGAAAGAAATGGTGACTGATCTGGGTATGGCCTGTCTGTGATCCAAAAATCATATTGATGTTGCATTATGGCTATGCTTTTTTTATTTCATCTGGTTAGCTCATGGTGTACAGACCAATTATGTACATATATGTATATGTGTATGTTTATCTACCTGTAAGATCCAGAACAAATATTAATTTTTTTTTTCACCTCAAATAAGTTCTAGAGAATCAGTTTTTCTTTTTGCCTGAAAGATCAATGGTGGTGCAATGTAAAGGGAGTTATTGACATAATTTGATGCAATTGGAGAAAAAGACATTTCAACATCTGCCTTAGCCAGCCCTGTAAATGCAGTTTCTAAATAGTTCATGGCCATAAACTGATAAGACATGAAGATATCTGAACTAACACCACCGATTTATGCCCCACCTCACAAAATGGTCTTTCATGCTTGGATGCTGGCAATGGCCATGCTTCATATACTGACTAACCCACCCATTACTGATGTATACATAAATGCATACATATATATATATATATATATATAACTGACAGTAGATGCAGAAAGGCACCCCAACTATTAGACTTAAGAAAATTAAACAACGCAATCAACAAGCTGTAAGCGATGTGTTCAGTCTTTTTAACCTCATGAAGCAGGGTCTTAAGTGTTCTTTACAGTTAACCCTCTGATTAAAAAATTATGGTAATTTGAACAGTGAACAGTACAAGATCACCGTAACTTGCACTTTCATTATGAAATGAAATTTAATAATAACAACAGTAGTAAAAAGTGATAACAAGTTGACATTGATCCAACACCTTGATTTTTTTCCCCGAAAGTTGAGATCGAGGCTAAAGCTTATTTGCATTGGGGGACACATCTCAATCAGCATGCAGATTTGATCACAATCATACCATCCAACATAACTTGCATTGCAATAGTAGATTGTCCACAATGCCACTCTAATTGTTGTTCACAAAAAGCAGAAGAATCTAACAAGCATGATGAAGAATGTGAAAACAGACTGGCATGCATCACCTATTTTCATACTATGAAATAATTTGATGCTTCATCAAATTACTACAACGAATAGCAAACCAGTCTGATAATTTTTCTAAATTTTAATCACTTGTACTCCTCAATGTCTGTGTATTTCCACCAATCATGAAAATGTGGGGTTCCCTGATATTTTTTTCAAAGTGTTGCTTTTCTGCACAAGGGTAAGATTGAGCACTGATGAGTTAACTTTGTGTTGGAGATGATGAAAAGCTACGTTCATGTGATTTCTTTTTCATCACTGTAAAATCACGTTATGGTTATTTAAAAGAGACTTTTCACTAAAAAGAAATCAGAACTGGCTTAAATCTGATTAAGGAAGATGCCTATAACCACGTTCGTATACTTTAGGACTGTGTGTGAAAAAACTGCATGAGATGGTTTGATCAGAGACAAATAAATAGGACAAAGAACTTTCACTAAAGCACCAATCTGTTATGTCAGAAACAAGGAAATTCCAAGCCCCAATTTCAATTAAACTGGTGAGGATCCAATGAGCTGCAACAAGGAGACAAAGACCGGTGTTGCAGATTTATAGACAAATGCGACAGAGTATGCCCCATGATTAGTCATTCACAACTAAGAGGTTTATTCTATATTTATACAAATGGGTATAATCACGAAGAGTTTCATATCATGCGTTGAAAATATTAATTCTTATTATATTAGATCACATCAACAATTCACATTGAGGTTCTTTTACTTTTCTGCTAAAATTACAAGGCATTTCTTAACGACAAAAAGAAAAAAAGACGAGTATATGTTACCCTTTCAAATTACCATCGTCCCAACCTTAAGTAAATGAAATCATTCAGTTCTTTTCGCTTGAACTTCTATTGATCGACAACAACTTACCGAACATCTTTTTGGGTCTTGTGGGGATTGCGCAGAAAGCTTTAAACTTAGAAGTTCGTCCAATCCCATCTGGGTGCATACCGTTTACATCCACCTCATCGTCTTCAGCCAGCTTCATTCTTAATGTTGAAATCCTTGACTTAGGTGATTTTAGGCCTGAAACACTCCATTGATCGTCTGCTTGAATGCTAGTAGTGGTGCTTAATGGTGCTGTGAGCTTTGAAGGATCCATATTATGGGAAGCTAAAAGTGCTTTGAGGTTGCTAGGCAGTTCAGTTACTTTGCCACCGGCCATCGATGCTCTGGCTTGCTCAAAGAAGAGAACTTGTACTACGACCCTTAGTGGAAGCAATTCATTTTGTGCGGCGTGCATGCAAGCCTCCACAGAGAGTTTTTTGCAGTCCAGGATCCGGCAGAGCCTTTTTCTTTCACTCTTGCTTAAATCTGGATGTGCCTGGATGGTCATAGAGAGGACTTTTGTAATTTCTACTTCTAGAAACCTTGCAGAACTTCGACTCTAAATGTTAGGTTGAATCTACTTGCAAACTTTAAAAGAGAAAACACGGTAGAAATAAAAGGCTAGGCTTATCAGTCCAATTTGATAATGACAATCGTATAAATTAAAAGGAAAATCTATTGATAATCTGACAGATTGATGGCCGCATATCAGTAGAAAGTATAGACATCAAAAGCTATAAAATCCCAAGGATCTAGATCCAAGATGATGAATTCGTTAGGTCAGCCTAATCCATACCTACCAATCACTTGTGCAGTGTACAAGGTTCAAAGGTCAAGAGAGTTGGTCATCTACTGATAATAGTGTCCACATTGTAACAGTTGATAGTGAAATCTCCAGGCAGTTTTGTTCAAGTATGATAATGATAATGATAATGACATAATATGAAGCTTGGTAAGTTCGTTTAGACCAAAAAGCTAGTTTGTCATTTACCTTGAGATAAATATCAATGGCCCTGTAGAGGTCATCATGATCAAGCCTTGAGAAATCTGGTATGGTCTCAGCTAGTGCAATGAACTTTGACAGAGGCAAATTCACATCTCTGGCAATCTCTTTAAGATATCCATCCACAAGTTTTGCCACCTTTAGTTTTGAGCTATGTGATGCTGAAGAAGATCTCCTACTCTCCTGAAACTCAAGATCAATATTCTCCGCTGAGCGAGAACGTCTCCTTTCAAACCCCAGCTTGGATCTTTGGGGGCTTGTTGGGGGACTCTGCCCCTGTAACATGAACTGCTCTAATATAGCCATGACCATGTCTACATCATACAACATATCATTTGTGTATGACAAAGAGGGTATTAACAAATCATTAACTGTTGCTTCCTCTAACTGGAGTCCCACCCTTCTTGCCAATTCCATCTTAGAAGAAGAGGAAGCATTAAGAATATTGGCTGCCTTTAAGAGTTTAAGTAGAAAACTGCAAGAGACAGCACCCTTTTCTGCCGGGAGTAAGCTGACTATTGATTCCAATAGCAACCTGTGCTTTGAAGAAATCTCACTAGCAGAGTCTGAATCTGAATCGGATGACCCCCCTTTGTTACAAATAATATTTCCAGCTTTTGATATGTTGGGTAGCCATCTAGAGGCATATATCTTTAATGCATCACCAATGAGATTAGAGGGTATCTTCCCACCAGATTTAACCGCTATCATGGTTCTCCAATAAAGGTCTATACCAATTTCTGCCATGTCTTCAGCCCACCATCCCTTGCTTGCCAGTTTATGTCTCTGGCTCTCGGCCCCGTTGCAAGACATGTCATCCCTTCCCCTCCGTGAATGGCTGTGTGACAAGCTCACCTTAGAGGGGTGAGTAAGGACCTTGGAAGCAATAGCTTCGATACACCTGCTTGTGATGCCAAGATCTTCTGACCACAAGGGGAAGGCCTTGGTGCTTTGCAAAGTGACAATAGAATCCTTCCAGCCATTAAGGATGCAGGAATTGAAGAACACTTCAATCTTGTAGATTAGGTTGCCTTTCTCAACATCCTCTGTCATCTGCAGATACTCGGCAGCACATCTTGCAGCTACAATGTTATAAGCACTGAGAGTGATTGTAATGCCATAACAAAACTTTGCACACAGTTCAAATGCTTCAACTCCTCCCGGAAAATCAGGGACCTGGATTATCTGGTGCTGTGATGTTTCAGGAGATTCAGAGCATAGCCTTTGCAGCCGCAAACACTTGGATAGCAGAGGAAACTGAGAGCCATAAAATTACAAAAGAAAAACACCACGGGATCATTATTCAACTGAATATGGGACAATCCTGGTAATCAAAATTATTCTTTCTGGGGAACAAATTCCCAGCAAAATTGCCAAAATTCTCACCTTGTGAAGCAGATATCTGCTTCCTTTCACTTGAATTATGAGGTCACTAGACACTTCAGAGGAGACAGACCTGCGTTAAGGAATGAAATTCTTTGGTATCTTTGACGAGGAAAATGCATCATTAGAATAAAATCATATCCAATCAGTCATAGCTTTACCTCACAGCCTCAGCAGTG